TCATTAATACCCGCAGTTACACATCAAGAGCACAGTCCATCTGTCAGTAATGTTTTGACAAAATTTGAACTCTGTTCGAATCGGATTGCTCTGTTGTAATTGTCTCGTAAATCAATGTGGAATATTCGTTTTATCCGTTGTGTAGTTCGTTTTTTTGTGAACTCATGCGTTTTCCCATCTTATCCCTTTGTCGGGTTTTGTGTTTCTGTTCAATGTTCCTTATCGTTTGATATTTTTTGTATTTTGATGGTTTTGCATGGACTTAACAGCAAATTTAAACGTTTTATCGTTCAATCATTCAGTTGCATTTGGCTATAGCAGTTGCTGAGCATGCGGCAGCAGCAGCAGCAGCCACTCAAGCACCATGCACCACTACACGTGATTGTTTTTCAAAATCAGACCGGTTACCATCGCCAAATGACAGTCATATGTTCGGTGATCAAACTCCGAAATATGATGTGTCCAGATCGATCAGTCGCCGTTCACTTCCGGAATTCATCTATCCGGACACGATCCGTCAACGCGTCACACCGGATGAGTGTCCTGTTTGTCAGATTATGCTGCCGAAAGGCCCAAATGGCTGTGTACGTCACCACTCACTTACACCCTTCGTTTGTGTCGTTTTCATTCGAAATGTTTGTTAGTATTCGTTTTACGATCACTCGGATATGCTTTTCGCTTCAACTTGGATGTCAGAGGCAAGATGTCACTCTGCAACGAACTGTTTGCTTTCGATTTGTTTTGTGTCCATCAAAATTATTTTGCATGTTCCATAATTTGCTTAATCATAATGAGTGATTATCACTTGATCGAATACACAAATAATTCTCACGAGAAAGAGGATAGTCAATCATTAGAGAGAATTAACTGGTCTATTATCATGTTGTTCAGTCGTAACTTTGTTTGTTTTCCCAGACAACTGAAAGTCAGCTAATATGATATCTTAGACACAAGACAACTTAATAATGACACCGACATATAGTGGTGGATTTAGTCTCGCCTCTCTACGTAGTAAAATTTCGCTTTACTTGAGGAGATCTTTGAAGTAGTGTGGTGTGTATTGGTTGAAAGGAAACGATATGTGGGACAAGAATATGGTGTGTAAAAAGAAATGCTAAAAAACTTTTAAATAATGTAGAAGAAGAAGAACTTTGCGTTAGTGTTGCGAACAAAATTACTGATTTATGAAATAACTGTGAACGTGTAATTGATAGAATATCAACAAAATGTAATGTGAATAGTGCATAGAAAACGTTTCGCTAATTTATTGTTTCCACTGGAAATGTTACAATTATAAAATTGACTATTGTTACGCATCTGATGACGATAATG